TCTCTCTCTCTCTCTCTCTCTCTCTCTCTCTCTCTCTCTCTTGCAAAAGAGGACAAATAGAACTCAAGTAAGTTAGATAAGCTGACCCTGATATATTACTGATAACAGGTTACAAAGTACGATACCCACTTCATGTTTTTATCACCCCAAACAAGCCACAGACTACTGAGTGACGAGAGTTTAGTATTAGTACATGTTTGTTCCTGTTTTTATATAACACCTAAAACAAGTTAACGACAGTTATTGCGAGATCACACGTCACACTGGTGGTATCTTTAAAGGAAAGTGTACGCAGAACTTTTTATTAATACGATATATGTGTCATTGTAGTAAAACCAGGCTCCAGTCAAAATATATAATCAGAGAAACCAACATTATTTCAACACTTTTTGGTTATTTTGATCTTGTTTTTAATTTTATTTATTTTTTAATATGGGGCGGTAGAGCTCAACGTATTCTAATCTATGTCCGTTTAAGAACTCTTCTTTATGCGCATGTCCACGTAAAATGTTGATAAATAGCCCAAAAAAATGCTAACTTGCAGTTTCCAAGAACACTCAAGCTTTGGAAGTCACCAAACTTTGGCGTAAATTTTCTCGCAAATTTTTACTTCTCACACCAGGTGACCCCCCACCTTCTTTAATGTTTAATGGTAAATATCCCAATTTTTATTTAAGGAAGATGAGGGTTTTTTTCATCAAAAGCAAGTGAACAAGAATTAAAATATACCAGTAACTCCATATGCCAAAATCTGATGAGCGTCTGATTCGACCTTGTCGTAATACAATTTTGTATAGATATTTGCCTATCGCACTAAATGTAACTTTAGCCTTGATAAACCCTACAGACCGAGGTCTGTCGTGTAGCGATTATGCGCCTTTCTGGCGCGTGCAGACGACCCGAGTTTAATTCTCGTGAGAGAAAAAATGTTAACGAGTCTTTCTGCTGGGACATAGTATCCCTCTCAATTCTGGTTGAATCTGACAGGCAGACTCCTAAATAATCTAAATAGTGTCTATGGAGGCGAATAAACACCAACATTAAAAAAAACCTCTCCTGTGGACTTTGGGTCAGCGCGCGATAGAATGCTTGAATTTTTCTTTCGTTTCACGACTGCAAAGTAGGGCGTCACTTGGAAATGAAGGACGACGAATGGACGAAAACTGCCTCATTTGAATATGTAGCTTTGCGAAGAGTGGAGTCTGCGCGGGTCCCTAAGATTGGCAGTTGATGCACGTGCAGAAAAAATGGCCATGGAGCATTGACACAGACACTTTAAAGGGAGTTAAAGAATATAAGAGATCACAAGAATACGAAATGTAAACATTACCTCGTTGTGCAAACCTGTAAAAAAAATTTTAATACATACATACACTGACAGTACTCTGGTAAAGGCTCCTAGCTAATGATACCCTTTAGAACCATATCGCATTCCAAATCACGTTTAATTTAAACAAGACACGACAACTCCAGCTTAAAAAAAGGATGCTGCACAGTGGCGACCAACAATGCCATGTTTGTTAAATTGTTCTGTACTGGCGCAAGATTGTGTATTTGTATATGTATTATGTACAGTGTACAGTGTATGTATCTATGTATGTATGTATTTCTGATTATGTACGTGTGAATGTATATATGTCATTGTATCCCAAATTTCTCCTTTAAGATCAATAAAATACACTTTATTCATTACTTAATTATTATTTAACATTTACGACCATGGTCCCAATAATATTATGGGCAGTCAAAGATTCTTGAATTCTTTAAGGACACAGCAGATACATGTGTTCCATCAGCAGCAGACATATGGCATTTCGAACCACCACACACAAACTGAAAACACATGTTTGCTTATTTCATAGTAAGCCTAAGCTAAGCTGTTCGCCTTTGAAAAAATCTAAAAGACAAAAGAGAATTCCAATAATATATGAGTGGTAGAGTTATGTTCATTTTTAAGGGCCCCAGAAAGTCGCCAAAGAATTAAAGGGATATAATCAGTCTTCTACAACACATGTCTTTTGCTGTTTTCGCTTGACTGGAATAAATACCAAAGTGTTTATCTATGTTTGATAATTTGTTTGGTTTTTCCATTAAATTTTAAAAGCAACCGTGTAATGACTAGACTCGAGACAAGTCTAGCTGTGACCTTAGAAGCTGGACAAAGCCTTATTTTTTAGCCAAGCAAAAATGTATTTCCTTTGTAAGTCATTATGTTGTTTGTTACTCATTAAACTGTAAGTGTTTGAATATTTTTTGTTTGTTTGTTTTGTTGTTTAGTTTGTTTGTTGTTTGTTTTGTTTTGTTTTGTTGGGGTTTTTTTGGTTGTTTTTTGTTGTGTTTTTT